AGTTTAATTTTGATTTCCATAAATGAAATTTGATAATGAATAATATTTAAACATTAAATTCATTAATTCGAACATCAAATGTCACTCATTACAATCAACAATGAAGTTCCTATGATGTTCAAAGAGTTCAAATTGTCACACAAATGGAGATACATCATTTTTAAAATGAACGACAAACTAACTGAAGTCATCATTGACAAAATTGGTCAATATGATGAAACTTATGACGATTTTACAAAGGCTCTTCCACCAAAGGCTGCAAGGTTTTGTGTGTACGACCTTCATTACACACAAGTGAATGGTAAAAGAGAAAAGATAATATTTTACTTGTGGTCTCCATCAAAATGTTCTCTTAAAGAAAAAGTCATCTTCTCAGCTACAAAAGTGTTGGTCAAACAAGTCTTTGAAGGAATAGCAGCAGAGGTACAAGCCACTTGCGATTCGGAACTCGACATAGAAAGAGTGCTAGACAAGGTCAAAAGTGTTTCTAGAGAATAACATAATTTAATGTTGTTATGTTTTGGCAAAAAGATATATTTTTAATTGAAAAAAAATATTAAGCCTGTTTTATTTGAAAATGGAAAAAATATAATAATTAAAAAAATTAAAGATTAACCAATTATAATTATTAATTTAACATGTCTTCAAATTAGATACATATAAATTATAAACCAGTACATAACTATAACAAGTTATCACTCAATTATCAAACTGGTTAATTGTATTTTTCAACATTTACGTTACAATAAGTTAAAAATCTTTAATATTAAATCTTATCAAAAACAAATAATAATTGTGGATAATAACACAAACAAATTATTGTTATTTTTAATTAAAAAAGTATTACATTATTCTTTTTCTTTATAATATCGAAGAAGAATTAGAAGTTGCTGATTTATAAACTATTTTATAATACAATAGAAAAAAATATAAATAAATAACATATTACTTAAAATATGCAATTTGTTTTTGTGAAATCTTGTGTATCAATAGTACAACAAAATAATGAAAATCAAAATATAATTCGAAACAAATTTATACAATAACAAGTATAAAAAAGATTTCCAAAGTTTAGAACACAATTTCTTTTTAAATATTAAGTTTCTTGAACAACAACAGGTTTTAAATACTATAAGTTACAAAAATACCAATATATAATGACATGTTTAACATTGTACAAACAAGTGTTTAACCATTTTGGCAATAAAAGAAGAACACCACAAATTTATAAAAAATAAGAAATTGTTTAAATATTAATTCAGTTTTACTGTATTCAATTAAAAATTTTAAATAAATATTATTGGTGTTTTTTGAATTATAAACTTCAAAAGCATACATTATAGAGATAAAAATATTTTTTAATAATTGTATAATTCAGATATCACTATTTCAAAAAATATTTAACTGTTTATTATTCAAATTGAATTAACTGTCAAACGAAATAAAAACTTTAATAAAAGTAACATATAAAAGCAGCAAAGTATCTTTATGTGTTCGATATTCAGAAAACGGGTTTATTCCAGATTATTACAACATATTCTTGTTAAATTAGGGAGGCAAAGAAATAACATATTCAACATATACAACTCTTTTTAATCAAACTCTCAAATTTGATTTTTATATTTTGATTTTTGAAGATTGCTTTAGATCCTTATCAGAAGCATTTATTAAAAATGTTTATGTTATTATTATATTATACTCTATCACTTCATCAGAATCTTATGAACGATCGGGAAAATACATGAAAGAGAGTTTCAAAATAAAACACAGTGTTGTGGAATACCCAAATATCGTTTTATGTGGGAACAAATGTGATTTGGAAGAAAGGCGATGTGTCTCCACTTTAGAAGGAATAAAGTTATCAAAGAAGTTTGGCATCGATTATTTTGTAATTTCTGTTCAGAGTGGAGCTGGCACAAAAGAGGTAATTTAAACTCTTGCGATAAAACACATCAAATATGGAAAAAAATACAACGAAGAGTATCAAACTGAAAAACTTGACAATTCACAACACACACAAAAAAATCAATTCACAAAGGAAAACATAAACATTGTGTTTTGTCTTAAAAACAAAATGTAATCAAAATACAAATTTATTGTTGATAACAAACATTTTTGTTTCTTAGGTGTTGTTTTAAATAATAAAATACAGAAATATTATTTAAAAACTAAATATATCTTTTCCCTTAAATAACAACAAAATAATGTTTATTTTTTAAATAAATTATTATTTTACAGTTGTTATACTAAAATAAAAATTACTCCATCATTTAGTGACAGGTATATCTAAATGAGTATATGTTTTTTAAACAATCATTTGCATGTACATTTACTCTTTAAAAAGGTGTTTAATTAATCAAATTAAATACATCCTATTATTGTTATGTATTATTTATAGACTTCTTCTCTTTGTGGAACTAAACTTAAATAAAACGATAGTTAGAAGGTTTAGTATCTATTGTTTTAAAATATTTTATATTTATCATTGTTATAGTAAAATTAATTATATTTATAGTAATAGTTTAATAAAATAAAACTCTCAAGTGAATATTTCACTTCATAAAGTTTCTTTATGATGTCTTCACCGTTCATATGGATAGTGCAGCTATTTTTTATTTTTTCCTCAAATCAGAGTATCAAGATATAGGGTTATTGAGTACTTTCTGCACTGTTATTGTATAAGTTTGTTGCCTTCATGTTGTGTTATTGAGTTTTTCAATCTGCGTACTACAACTGTAATTATGACAGAGATTGACGCAGTAAGTAGTCAATCAAATTGATTTGTTGTTATTCATGTTATTCGAATTAACAAATAAAACAAATAAAACATAAATTCAATAAGAAATACCAAGTCTTCATTTTGTCTTATATTTGTGACTTGTTGTGTTTTAATTTATGCCGCGGTCGTGTTGAGTCTTGATATTTGTTGTTATTGATAATCGAGTCTTCTTTGTTCAAATTGAAATGGACATTTTGTGTATCTATTTTCTTTTTTTTTCTTTTTCGCTGTTTTGTTGTATTGAGTTGTTTTTGCAACGCATATCAAAAACAACAAATTTGTCGACCTTCAAATTTCTGACTTGTCTTTTCAAGTCTCCAAATTTCTATCAAGTATTTAATTTTCGATGTCGAAGTCGTTTGAATTCATTTGTAATAAAAAACCAAAATATTTCATCTTCGGTGGTACTTTCAAGTCTTCATTTTCTGCTGTGAACAAACAACTTGAATTCAAAACACCAACACAAAACACCTCTTTCTTCTCTTTGATAAAAATTTCTCATTTTCTCTTTTCCATTGTCACGAAGAAGAAACACAAAAGCATTTTCGTCAGTTATGTACTCCCCATTTCTCTCGACTTTTGTTGCTACAAACACACCAAAACTACACCCATTTGTACTATCTATGACTATCACAACACCATCACAGCGACTGATCGTTTTATAGAATTTTGCACTCCCACCCCATACAATCTACTTCGCTGTCAAACACCGCTTTCATGTGTTGTCTTCCACTCCACACGACTAATTTTGCCTTCTCTTCAACACTTAAGAAATGTTCATCTTCTTCAAGTTGTTGTTGTGACTTCTCTGAACAACTCAATTTGACATTCTTGTCGACTGATGACATCTTCTCACCTTTCACTCCACTCTGTCGTGTTCTGTCACTTCGTCCAAATAGTATTCACTGGTATTTTGTCTTCTGTTGTGTCACATAAGTCGTGTGATCCGGTCGTATCGTGTCGTGCAATTTCTTCCGCTTCATTTGTACTCAACTTGGTCATTAGAACTTCACGACGCATCACATTCACTCGCATCTCTTCACAACTCAATCGTTTCTCACTCGCTTCTAACATCACTATGGCACTCTTCTTCATTGCTAAAATACTTTTATAATCACTCCGACACTTCTCTTCAACACTTTTGATCAAATACATCAGATCTTTACTCACTTCAAAACATCGACTCGTCTCTCGCATCACAGCACTGTACAACGACTCACATCTCTCAACACTCTCTAAGACGTCATACATCTCATTCACTGCGTCTTCTCCACTTTTCATCAACAAATCTCCAGACAAACATGTCCGACTCTTCTCTTCATACGCATGCAACGCACTCATCAATGGATCAAAACACCCGTTTAATGTCGTCACACGACGCTCAAGGCAACTCTCGAAGTCTTTTCCTTTCATTTCATTTCTTATTAAGTTGTACCATATACATAATAAATATTATTAATATATATAATACACTAACCCTGTTACTACTTTTTTTTCATGTACTATCACTATTTAACTACTTTTACTATTTATTATAGTACTCGCCTTGATTCGAGTTTTTTTCTCATTTACTCAAATTGTACTATTTAATACTATATATACATTCAATTTATACTATATTTATGATACAGTGGTGTTGTAATTCAAGTACTATACTATTCATATAGTTTATTATTATTTAAAGTATTATTTTTGAATAAACACAAACATTTTGTTTGTGTGTTGAAATAAGAATTGATGTAATTTCTTTACAAATAAATATGAACTGTTCAACATTGTTGTTGATTTGATCAAACTATCACTATCATTTTTAATTGAATATATAAAAATTAAAAATATGTGTTTTATTTAGTTACTATTCAAAACAAACAATATTATTTCTTATTGTATTTCACATAAAATGTTTGTATTATTGATGTTATCATTGTAATTATACGTTTTCTTGTTATACAAACAATTATGTAATTGATGATGTACATACAAGTTAATGAAAATAATATGTAAAATTAAATTAAAGACTGTTGATCATTATCTATTTACAAATCAATATTTATGTTATTTATTGCAAATTTCAAATCAATGTTGTAAATAAAAACACATTTGATTTGTTACATTGAAATATTGATTGTTAATAAAATTAAAAACGTGATTATAACATATTAAATCTTTATTTAAAAAAATATGAGGACATAACACCAACAAATAACAACTCTGAACGTAATTATGGCATAAATGTGATTTTATTTCTTTTGCCGTGTTTTGTATTTGATAGCAAAAATGGGCAGTCCTTAACGACAATTTTGACTCCTCTCATTTTACCAACAATTGTTTTGAGCTTTTTACACGACTGTAAATGCACACTTTGTGTGTTTTCTCCAATCACAATTTCCTCCAACAACTCGCACGACTTGACAACAAGTTTCTCAACCTTTTCACCACATTTTATTGTCTTACATTCCTTCCAACTCACACTCGTCTTTTTGGTGTTGACAAACATCGTGTTTTGTACAGCAACTTTTTGTGTGACTTTTTGTTCTATTTGAGTTGTTTTATTTGATACGATTGTTTTGAATTTGATTCCGTCCAATTTGACGTACACCGTGTTATTATTTAAAATTAGTTTGTCCGCAACATAAGTCCCTTTGTTCACATTCTCAATTTGTATTCTTTTCCATGGAACATCTCTAAAATCAACGACTTTTTGTTCCTTCATTTGGACAACAACGTTTTCAGCATTTTCAGTCTTTCTTTGCAGATAGTAAAAGTTTTCCAAATCAAATTTCACAAGATACCCACAAAACCCGACTTTGCCACAAACACGTATTAAAGACGTTGTTGATTGACTTGACTCTTCTGTCTGACTGTTAACAACAGATGCGACGTTTTTGTCAAAAGAAACACCACAGTACATCACATTCGACGTGTTGGATACAACAGAAGAAGCAACGCCGCAATGTATTTGAATGTCAAAATATGAATCGACAAACACGTGGTTTGCCTTTTCGATGAAGACCTCTTTGATTGAGTTGTTCGTGATGGAAATTTTGATGTCGACATTTTCACTTGTTAGGAATGGTGGAATTGTCTTTTGATTTTCAAATGACAGCATTTCGACTTGTCCGTCATTCAACACAACTCCACAAAACACATCAAAAGAGACTTCTTGTTCTGCGATAGAGTTGCACTTGTCAGTCAAAGCAACAAGTGTAGCAATTTGATCATTTGTTGGTAAATTAGTGAATTGCGACAGTTGTGAATTTAACACTTTGAAATGTCCGTTAAGCAGTGCGTGAATGTGTGAGGCAGTGACATCCCTAAAATACTTTGTCTTGACTTTTCCAGTTTTAATTGGTTTGTTAGTCTTGTCTAATGTCATATGTGAGCATTTAATAAAGAAAATGTTACCCAAATTGCAGTGTGTGATTGTCACATCGTTTGTTTGAGTTGCTTCCAAACTCCCAATTGTCATGTTTTTTATTGAAATAGTTGAAGACCTGTTGAGTGTTATAGACCACATTGGACATGCAGAGTGACTCTCAACAGTCGTGTGTTGAACATTTGTGAATGAAATTGTGTTTGCAAAGTCTTCTATCACAAGAGAAAGTGCAGAACAGTTGATACAACACGTGGACTCAACTCCACGCAGTGTGACTGTCATTTCTGAGCACTTTTCAATTATGACACGTGTACAAAACAAATTGCAAATTGTTTGTTTTGTGATGTTAAAAAGTGTCAACCTGACGACCAGGCGACTTTGTAGATTGAATGTTGGTATCACATCGTCAAGTAAAACAAGTGGACATGTTATTGGATATCTCGTCTCTGCATTATACCATTCATTTTGATTTGGCACTTCAATTTTGTTTCTAATTTTTTCATCTTGTGAATCAACTTCTTCTATGTCATTTTGATCATTACTGATATCATTTTCTTTTTCATTATCATCATCAGTGATATCATCATTTTCATCATCTCTTGACTCAATATCATATTCATTATCATCAAAATTTTCATCATTTAAATTGTCAGTGATATAATCACCATCGTCTCTGTCTTCTTGTTCATGATTTTTATGATGTCTTATTTTAGTCATCCATTTATCATATTCAACTCTGTTATGATAAACATCAATGTCACTTTCACGATCATTTTTAAAACACCCAAAGTCTAATCCTTTCTTATTTGTGACAACAACTTCTCCAATAAATCGCGACTCGTCTAATATGTGACAGTTGTCTATCACATTCTCTGTGTTGTAGTACACACTCACACCCAACTGTTTGAGTGCTAAAAATGCACTTTCAAACTCCTCTTTGTATATTTCTGTTGAAATGCTCTTCTCAATAAACACGGAAATATTGACGTTGTCCAATTTGTGTTGGTGCTTCAAATTGACTTCAGAAATGCAGTCACAAATTGTGTTTAAATAACTGATATGTGTGCAATTCCAAATCGTCACGTTTTTCACATTGGGAAGTCCAAATATCGCACTCAACAGATCTTTGTTACGGATCCACCCATCAACCTGCACACTCTCCAGACTCGTATACGCCTCATTTGGTATAATTTTCTTATTATTTGTCACAACACACAAATTCACTATTTTTGGAATTGCTTGAGGCGAAATTTTTGGGTGATAATGCGTGAGTGTAACAATACCAGATAACCGATTTCTGTTGTGTGGAGTCTTCACAAGACGGATTTTCTTTACTTTATTTATCACCTTATTGGCGTCTCCCAACATAAAATCGACACATTGTAACGTTTCAATTTTGGGGAAAGCCTTTAATAGAAATAGAAATATCGAAGTGTACAGCGCCTTGCGCTGCTCTTTGAACATTGAAAAAGATTGGACCGAGACATCTATGAATGGGTTGATATAGAGACCACCAAGACATGAATCACACTTCTTGTTGACTTCCATAAAGGTTTTGAGAGACTCTACCGTGTTGATATAAAGCGCAACGTTCATCATATACACTATCTCTAACTTACTCATAACGAAAAGTGAGTTAAAATTATTAAAAAAACAATTTTTTATATATGAGAGTTTTACTATTAATTATAAACTTAAAATCAATTATTAATATATTGATTAATATTTTAATATTAAGTTCATTCAGATTATTTCAATTTATAATTTACTATTTTTTATTAATATATTATATTAAAATAGATTGAAGTTTAATGAATATAACAAGAAGTATGAAATCTAATTCAATTGGTGTTTTAAAAACGTTTGAATTGTTTATTTTATGTTTTATTTATTATAATCAATAGATTGGGTAAAAGAAAAAGACTGCTCCGAGCCATGTAATCCAATAACATATCAAATTGGAAATGCACAATTGAATTCTTGGGTTTAATCAAGAGAATATCAAATTATTATTATAATTTAAAATATACTTATAATTATCAATATTTTTTGTTGAATATTAACCCTCTGAAAACTCTAAAAACCGAAAATAATGGATTTTGTGTAATCTCAGTTATTTTTAAATTAAATGAAACTTTTATTTCTTTAATTATTCTAACTTCCCTGGAACGACTGACTTAGTAATATTTTATAGTAAAAAATTATAAATTATAGTAAAAAAGTAAACCTTTTGTTGAAGTGGGGAAGAACTAAGGTTCATTTTTTTGGTTTAGCCCTTCACGGAAATAAGCCGAAGGATAATGGAAAAGTCAGTTCAAAAAATTGAGATGACTACAAACCATACAAATAAAACAAACAATTATAAAATACAACAAAGAGATAATCGCATCGTAAAACATACTAGTTTGGAATATTTAAAAACAATTGCACAATAATAATAACATAGAAAAAAATAATAAAGCATAGACTTTGAGGTGTATTGAAATATCAACAAGCAATTAATCTCAAAAACGATATCAAAAAAAATAAATAGATTTTTTTGTAAACTTTGAAAAATACAAAAATTTAAAAATCGGGTTTTGTTGTTTTTTCTATAATACAAAACGATAAGACATAAAAACACTTTTGTTTGTCTCTGATAAGAGAAAACCCATCTTTGGGAAAATGAATAAAACAAAGAACAACATTTTAAAATACATTTCAAAAGCATCAAAATTCGCAAAACTAAAAAAATCAAAAAAACGTTTTAGAGCCAAACCGAAGACACTAGATTAATACTTTGTCACAACAAGGTTTTGACTTTGGTGTATGAATTTCAGGTTGTGTCTCTGACGAGGATCAAAGATATGAATTTATTGTTTGTTCTTCTGGGTTTTTATCATTGCCAACCAAAAACAAAGGCTAAATTTATTTTTTGGAACAATTTCAAATAATTATTATTCTATTTGGTACAAAAAAGTTAGATTAGCATTTCATACACGTCTGTTTTTTTGGGACGCAATTTTGAGCTGTATACAAGAAACAAAAAAATAAAGGAATTTTTAAAGTGAACACAAAAATACAAAAGACCAAACTTATTTCCAAAAACTCCAAATAGAAATAATAAGAACCACATTGTATAATAATTTACTATTAAACGATAGTTTATTTGTTAATATAAAATAAAAATTATAGTAAACAATAGTTTGAAATATTTTTTATATTTTTAGAAAGAGTTCAATAATACTCAATTTTCCACAAAAATGTCCTCAACAAATTGATTATATTATACAAAAGGTTTATTTTTTGGAAAATTATAAATATAATTTTAGAAATAAATTATGCGTAACAACTAATTTAAATAAAAGTCTCGACCCAACCAAGTCTAAAATACAAAATATAAAAACGTGCATCGATAAAGGAATTACAAAACAATGTGATATAATTAACATATATAATCAATTTAGTATTAAACCTCTAAGATATTCAAAAATTAAAAGCATAATTTATAATAAGCAAAACAATCAGATTGTTATCAAAAAAGAAATATTATGCGGGTAAACTTCAGTGTGCACATATAAAAATACACTTTATCTGTTCTGAATAATAAAAAAGTCTAATCAGTTAATAATTGGCCAGCTTGTAGGTGTTACTTCATATAAATTAAGTCATTGTAGTCATATTTGAAAATAACATAATAATATATAAACATTCAATAAAAATGATTTTTCAAAAGCGTGTCATTATGTTTGGAAAAAACAATTCATTAAAATTAAACAAGAACATTGAAAGTTAAAGTAAACTGTTGTTCCATAAAATAAATTTCATTAATATTACAAGACTAATGACAATAAGTAATTTATAATATTTTTATTATTTTTTTCACAAAATTGCAACTGAAAAAAATGACGCTTTTGTGAAACAAGTTTAGTAGGAGACAAGTTTATTCTTGCCTTTAGAAAAAAAGACAGTGGTGTCGCTGCTTCTCTTCTTCACATCCTTGGCTTCAGCAGGCACTTCTTTTCTGTTCACCTTCATGGTTCCCAGAAGTTGATAACCAAAGGTAGCAAGGTAGTGCGACAACTTCAACATACAGAAAAAGTTGTCGCACACCACAGTCGTCTTGAATAAGCGACACAGCATGGGAAGTACCATGTCACGAGTTACTCTGAAACCTTAGTTTTATTCTTTCCCCACTTTTACCACAATACATCTGAAGGTTTAACACCATGCCAGTTTCTTCATTAACACCAATTCAAAATCAGCAATTATTGTAACTTTGCTGTGAAACACTGGATATGATATTAACTTTTCTATTTTATCAAAAAGTTTTTTTATAAGTTGTGTTGCTTTTACTAGTCAAACAAGCATAAATTATAGGGAAGCTTTTATTGTTTTTGAGATACACAAAAATGTAAATTTGGGAGAATAAATCTATTTGTAAAAACTGGGTATAGAAAACACAAGCAAACTTGGCCATGACTTAAAGGTTCCATCCAAAAATATATGACTTGTTGTTTTAAATATGTCTAGATTATTTTTATTACCAAATAATATCATTTCATCGTTTTGAAACAACACAAATTATTTTTCTATTTCATTGAATACAATAGACTCAATTGTTTGTTCATTCTTTGTTTCTTTAGCCATTCTAACTTCTTTTCCACAAGTTGACAATCTTAAAGAAAAAACTTTAACGTAGTTTTCAGAAACTATTTGTCCTGTACATTTCATAATATTTTTTACTTTTCGATGCCATTTTCATTTTATATCTACACAAAGCATTGAAAAATCATTGGATTCGTGTAGATGTGGACAGTTTTTGGTTTTTCCAATAAATTCAAAAGAAGTCATTTCCCATTTTTCACAAAAAACTTCAATTCTTTTGGAACAGCCTTTGTATGTACATTTGAATACTTTTCTGTCCTTATTTATTGGAGTAAATTTAAATCCGTCAACTTAAGGAAGTTCGTTTCCTCTCTGTGAAACCAATGTTGTAAAATGTGGTATGTCATCACTATTATTAACCATTTAATTTTTGTTCAAAAATAATTGGGTTAAGTTTTTTGAAAAAATACAATTTGAAATTTGATGTAAATTACAATGAACTTTTTTGGAAAAAAAGGGGAGTTGTCCAAATGCGAGTTGTACGGTAATCTTAATTAATATAATAATCATATCTTCAACACTTTTTATCATATTAATAAATCTTAATAAATCTTTTTCTTCAATTTTTAAATATCATTTCTGTTGTTATATAAGTTTGTGGGCATATTTCTTCAAAATACTTTAATTATTTATTTTTCCACTCTTTAAACTCAATTCTATCTTTCAAATATACAAGTTGTTTTGGGATTTCTTCATTTGCATTAATTACTCAGGCTGGTTGATCAGAAACAGTCTCAATTTTAATATTTTCATAAGATTCTGCTTTTTCATCATATTGATAAATTATATTACTAAAATTTCCACTCAAAGTCATAATATCCAATTTTTTCTTAACTCTTATTTAATTTGAATTTTAAAAATTGGTTGTTTATTTTTTTTCAGTAATATTTGTTCATTTAACATTTTTTTATTTTCATCCAAATATTTCATAAATTCTTCGATCTCTTTTTTATATTTACTTTCAAACACGTTAAAATCAATATCATCTCTGTTATTTGGAATCATAAAAATTTCAAGACTCTTTACAAATTATCTGCAGCCTTTTTTTCTGATTATCAAACAATTCTTGGTCAAACGCTTTTTGGTCTTTATCTCTTTTTTATAAATTTTAAGGTTCTTGATAGTAATTTTATTATTTTTCAATTGAAATTAACCAATAGTTACGAGCATCCTTATTTCTCTAGCATCCGCTTATATCCTCATAGTGTATATGGGTTGTGAGTCAATTATAGTTTAGTTAACTAACCATGCATATAATTAACTAATTATAAAACGTTTAAGTTATTTCTCAATTGAATTCATAAATTAATATTTAACTTAACATTAAGTTTATTGGTAAATTAACAATATAAATACATTAAAGTGAGGCGAGAAACCCATACCTGGAGAAAAACCCGCACCCATTTTCCTTTTTCTTCTTTTACCCAAATTATTGTATTTTTTACTTCCAGAACATGTAAAAAACAAAAAAGTTGGGTTATTATAGTTTCTTTTTCTTATTTGTTAGTGTTTTTTATTCAAAAATAAAAAAATTCGAGTTTGATTCAAAATAAACTATCAAAGAACAAAAATGGCAAGGATTTTTAAGTACTTTCAGTGTATTATAATAGTGTTTCAAATTTGTGTTTATTCAAAAAACAAATATACTATTGTATAAACTATATATATAGTTTAATGATTTAAACTATATTTTTTAACTTGTAATAGTTTATCAAAACCCAATTTATAAAAATAGTTTATATTTTCACAAGACAAATTCGATAATATAGTAATGTACTGTAAAAATATTTATAGATTTTATTTTTTCTAGACAATTGTTTATTTTTTGATCAAAATATTTTCTTTTTTATCTATAATACTCACGAGTCAAATTTATTACGTTTTCGTGAAGATAATATATTGAAGCTCGGTTGTGTGTTTAATATCTCCATTTTAAAAATAAGTTTAAAAACAATAATTAAGTCAAGTTATGTCTTTTTTGACACATATCTTTTTTATGAAGTTGTAAATAAAAACAAAAATTTTGATATGCAAACGAATGTACATCAACAGTACTATAATGTATCACTGCGTTATATCATACTGTAACATTATACAAACAAGTTACAGAATGTGTTTTTTATCATAACAATCATTAACAATTATAATAAAAATTTATTATATTTCTAATATTTGTTTTTTTACAAATTAAAAAAAATTATTTAACTTAAATTAAATAATTTTAATAAAAATATTCATAAAAACACCACCAACAAACTATACATATTATTATAATTATATTAATATAAACTATTAAAATGACTAAAGTTGTTGAAAAATTAAATGGGTTAGATATCCACCATTATTTTTTCTCAAAAAACTTTTATGAAAACTTAAAATTAAGAAAAACCAGTTCAAATATTCAAACTCAACACAAACAACAGAGATGTGTTTGTGTTGAGTTGTTGCGGATTCCCATTACCGTTTGGCAATTTTATTTATTTATACACACAGTGCATATAAATTAACAATTAGATAATGCAAATTCGCGCGACTAATGTTTGTTTGTTTTTTATGTTATTTATTATGTTTGAGTGGCTGATAAATACAATTAATTAACTATTAGAAATGGGTTTAAAGTGGATATAAATTATTGATTACTTATTAGTTCTTTTATGGTTAATAAACTGAATAACAATCTATAGTTTAGATACTATATTAAACTTATAAGTAATTAATTGTTTATAGGATGTATTAGGAAGTGAACCTTATATTATATTTGTTAATCAAAACATTTAATAAATTGTATTAAAATTAAACCTAAAATATGTTCAAAAGCCTATTAATCACTTTATTAGAAATATCAGAATAATAGATATTAATTTTTAATTTCCTAATAATTGATATTTGTTATTTAATATTAATTTCATGTAGTTTTTATAAAGGGGTGGAAAAAACCGCTTTTGATAATTTAATGGTTAAATGATAATATGATTATAGTTTTTTTGTATAGTTTATTTTTTTCCTTTTCCTCGATTTGATTCAAAAAAACAAGGTTTACAAGAATATCTATTACTTTTTCAAGATGCCGATGTTTGTTATTGGAATTTGGAAATTATTAATTTATGTAAAGTAAAGGCTGGATTTGCCGAATGATAAAAGGAGGAGCAAGAAAGATTGACTTCGAAACTGTTCTTTGAGGTCAAAATAACCAAAAAAACATCTTAAAATTAATTAAATAAAGTTAAAAAGAATGAACTTTTTATTAAATATTTTTTTCAATTTTTTGCAGAAATAAAAAACTCAAAAACACTAACCCGCGAGTGTACCTATTTTTCACACCCCTTTTCACTCCTTAATAATTTTTTTTCAATTTTTTAATCATCCATTAAACATATACTCAACAGTCAAATCTATTACCTCTCGAGCAACATAGTAAATGTATAACCAGCACACGTTTTTAATAAACCACCTTTCAATTTCTCTCAGCAAAGACCGACTGCACCTTTATTTCACACCCACTTTTGTTGGATTCCTCATTCGCTCAGAAATGCATTTCAAAGCCAAACTGAAAAAACGCACTTTGGACTTACTCACCAACTGAACGTGAGTGCATCCATTCCCAGAGTTTTTCAAGTGCCTGTCAAGCAAGCGATAAATGACTCGTTATTTCGTTGTACTTGCTTTTTTGAAACTTTTTATAAAATAAACGAAGCAATTTATTAATATTGGTCTATAAAAACAATGTAAGACGGATAATTTTATGTAAATTATCAGAAGCGGTAAAAGGGCGCTGCACATGTCCGTTATAATTTCTCGTGTTTTTTTTTGCTTTTTTCCACCAAAATCGCAATTATTTGAGGCAATTTGAAAATTTGGTTATAATTGTGTGTAATTTTATCATTAAATGGTAGTAAAGCGGGTTTTCCCGCCTTGCAGAAAACGATAAAAAGACTGGGAGGATACTGTGGACGATCCGAAAGTGCGGCAATCATTTCTGTATGGTGATAATTCAAGTTATGTGTGTTTTGTAT